AAGTGGGAAAAACAGATCCAGCCCAAATCCCTGAGATTTTGAGACCATTCCCAGAGGGATTTGGTGCCAATTAATGGGATCCCATTCCCAAAATCCTCTGAGCTGGAACTGTAGGATGGCACTGCTCCTGTTCCATGTCCCCCCCCTTCCCAGGTGTCCCACTCCCCTGCCCCCCCCATTCCCAGGTGTCCTGCTCACCCGTCCCCCCTCGTTCCCAGGTGCCCCCCTCGCCATGTTCTCCAAGAAGAAGAAGCGGGTGGAGATCTCGGCCCCGTCCAACTTCGAGCACCGGGTGCACACGGGGTACGACCCGTCCGAGCAGCGCTTCACGGGGCTGCCCCGCCAGTGGCAGGGGCTGCTCGAGGAGTCGGCCCGGCGCCCCAAGCCCCTCGTGGACCCCGCCTGCATCACCGCCATCCGCGCCCCCCAAAAGGTGGGCGACCTGGGCCTCAAAATGGGGGATCCCCGGGGGGGAATTTGGGAACCGTCGGCAGGCCTCACAAGGTGGAGGGATCCCTGAGAGGGATTGAGGAACCATTCGTGGGCCCCAAAACAGAGAGGATCCTTGGGGGTATTGGGGAACCCTCCAGGGTCTGGGCTGTCAGGAGAGGGGGTCAGGGGGCCATTCACAGCCCCCACGAGGTCTGGGCTGTCCTGGGGGGGCGGTCCCGGAGCATGGGAGTGGCAGTTGGGTCCCCACCCCCTCTTTGGGGGGAAGCAGGGGGAAACTGGAGGGTGACGGAGCAGGGAAGTGTTCCTGCCCTCTCTTTAGGACCAAAAATCCAAACTGGGGAGAATTTGGGTCCATCCCCTCTACCTGGGGTGTCCTGGAGCAGGTGAGGGAGCAGTGGGGACCCCCAGGACAGGGACCACCCAGCTGAGACTTCTCCCCACACTTGGAACAAGCCCATCCCACAGGAATTTAGGGTCATTCCCACCTGATCTCTCCCCCATGCTGTGTTTTCCCATTTTTTTAAGTCTGTGCCCCAAGTTGAGGACCTTTCCCATTCCCACACCCCTCCCATTCCCAGTCCCCCATTCCCACACCTCCCATTCTTCCCCATTTGCTGCTCAACCCTCCCCTCCATCCCACCGTGTCCACTGTACCCCCATTCCCTCCTGTCCATCCCCTCCATCCCTTCTCCCCCCCCGACATTCCATTTCATTTTTTGTTGGTTTTTTTCCCTTTTCTCCCCGTTTTCCCCGTGTTCTGTCCCCCCCCCTCCCCACAGCCCATCGTTCGTGGCTCCAAGGCCCCCCGGGATGGGACCCCTGGGGGCCGGGACGGGACCCTGGCGTGGCTCCTGGACGAGCTGGAGGCCGTGTCCGTGTCCCGCTCCAACTCCCTGCGCCGGGACAGCCCCCCCTGCCCCCCCCGAGCCCCCACCTGCCCGGAGAACGGCCTGGCCCCCCCCGGGAAGAGCCGCCGGGGGGGCCGGGGGGAGCCGGAGCCGAGACCCCCCAAAGGTGCTGCCGAGCGGGACCCCCCGACCGCGCCCGGCCCCGGGGGGCTGCGGCGGGAGGAGAAGCGCCCCAAGTCCAGCTCGGCCGGTGAGGGGGCCCCCCGGCCCCCCCCCCCGCGAGCAGCGCCCGCTCTCGGGGCCCGACCTGCGGCCCCCCGACATTCCCGGCATTCCTGGCGCTCCCGGAGCGGGGCCGAAGACGGCGCCGCAGCCCGGACGCCCTTTCCACACCTACCCCCGCGCCGACACCGACCCCTCCCGGGGCCCCCCCACCCAGGTAAATGGGGGTCCTACCCTGGGCTCTTCCTCCTTTTCCTCATCCTTCTCTTGCTCTTCGGGAGCGGCGTCTCTGCTCCTCTTCCTCGCGGCTCCAGCAGGATCAGCGTGTGCCAAAGGCCACCTGCTTCCCTTCCCAGTGCCGTGTCCTTGGCACCAGAGCAGCTTCCTCTTTTTTTCTCTTCCTCTTCCTTACTTTGCTTCCACTCTTCCTCCTTGGAAGTGGCTTCTCTGCTCCTCTTCCTCATGGCTCAAGTGGGATCCACCTGCTTCCCTTCCTGGTGCTGTGTTCTTGGCATCAGAGCAGTTTTGTTTGCTTTCTCTTTCTCTTCCTCTTTTTCCTCACTCTGTTTCCTCTTCTTCCTTGGAAGTGGTTTCTCTGCTGCTCTTTCTCATGGCTGCAGTGGAATCCACCACCTTCCTGGTGCCATGTCCTTGGTATCAGATCAGCTTTCTCTTCTTCCTCGTCCCCTTCCTCGCTCTGCTTCTTTCTCTTCCTCCTTGGAAGTGGCTTTTCTGCTCCTCTTCCTCGCAGCTCCCACGCTCTGGTGGGGATCGGGCCATGCTGAAGGCTTCCACAGCTGCCCTGTCGTTCCCGGTGCTGCATCCTCTGCCCCAGAGCGCCTTCCTCTTCCTCACTCAAACCTTTCCTTTGGCCTCTGGCTGGAGGCCCCGGCGTTGGCTCCCAGCACTCCGGGGCACAGATCCTGTGGGATTTCAGGGGGCTGACCCCCCCGTCCCCCTCTCCCCGCAGGCAGAGCACCGGCCGGGACGCCCGCAGGAGGTGACGCCCAATGGGCCGGTCCCCGCCGGTGGCCCCGGCGGTCCCGGCTCCTCCTCCCACGCCCCCGGCCCCCCACGCCCCAAGGCCCCGGAGCCGCCGCCGCCCCCTGGACCGGACCCTCCGGCCTCGCGGCCCCCCGGTCCCCCGCCCGCCCCGGGGGGGCCCCAGCGCGTGTCCCACGAGCAGTTCCGGGCGGCGCTGCAGATGGTGGTGGACCCCGGGGACCCCCGCACGTACCTGGACAACTTCATCAAGATCGGGGAGGGCTCCACGGGCATCGTGTGCATCGCCACCGTGCGCGGCTCCGGCAAGCTTGTGGCCGTCAAGAAGATGGACCTGCGCAAGCAGCAGCGGCGGGAGCTGCTCTTCAATGAGGTGAGGGCAGAGGGGACCCCCCAGGGCTCCCCCCGACGGGGCTGGGTGGGTCTCGGGGGTCCCAGCGCCACGTGCCCCCCCTCACAGGTGGTGATCATGCGGGACTACCAGCACGAGAACGTGGTGGAGATGTACAACAGTTACCTGGTGGGCGACGAGCTCTGGGTGGTCATGGAGTTCCTGGAGGGCGGCGCCTTGACCGACATCGTCACCCACACCAGGTACCCCCGGTTCCCTCTCCCTGGGTCCTTCCTGTGCCACTCCACACGCCCCTGACCCCCCCCACCATGTGCAGGATGACGGAGGAGCAGATTGCAGCTGTGTGCCTGTCGGTGCTGCGGGCGCTCGCCGTGCTCCACGCCCAGGGCGTCATCCACCGCGACATCAAGAGCGACTCCATCCTCCTCACGCATGACGGGCGGGTACGGCCCCCCTACCCCCAACAAATCCCCCCCGGGCCTCGCTGGCCCTCCCTGCCCCCAGCCCTGACCACCCCCGGCTCCGTTCGCAGGTGAAACTCTCGGATTTTGGGTTCTGCGCCCAAGTGAACAAGGAGGTGCCGCGGCGCAAGTCGCTGGTGGGGACCCCGTACTGGATGGCCCCCGAGCTCATCTCCCGCCTGCCCTACGGCCCAGAGGTGGGGCTGGGGGGTTATGGGGTGGATTTGGGGGACACAGGGTGGGTTTAGGGGTGTTTGGGGTGTCTGCGTGGAACCCTGAGCCCGTTTCCCACCTGCCCTACACCCACGAGGTGGGTCTTGTGGGGGAGTGGGCACAGGGTTTGGGGTGGGTTTACGGGTGCACAGGGTGGGTTTGAGGAGCTCCAGGAGGCCTCCCCCTCAAGCCCTCCCCTTTTTTTTTTGGTGGCCCCTGCCCAGGTGGACATCTGGTCGCTGGGGGTGATGGTGATCGAGATGGTGGATGGGGAGCCCCCCTATTTCAACGAGCCCCCCCTCAAGGCCATGAAGCTGATCCGCGACAACCTCCCCCCCCGGCTCAAGAACGGCCACAAGGTAACTCGGAGGGGGGGTGATCCCCACTCCCAGGGGGGCCCTGGGGGTGTCTGACCCCACCTCTGCCCCCCCCAGGTGTCACCCTCCCTCAAGGGGTTCCTGGAGCGGATGCTGGTGCGGGACCCGGCACAGCGGGCGAGCGCCCCGGAGCTGCTCCGACACCCCTTCCTGGGGGTCGCGGGCCCCCCCGCCTGCATCGTCCCCCTCATGCGGCAGCACCGGCTCCGGTGAGACCCCCCCACGAAGGGGGGAGACCCCCCCGGCCTCCTCCTCCTTCTCACTGGCACCCCCGAACTGGAGCGGCACTGGGACGTTACTGGTGGGGCGCTGGCGAGGGGCGCCGGCCCCCCAAATTGTACTACTGAGCTGGGGGGGGGCACTGAGTGCCGCGGGCCCCCCCAGCAGAGATCTGGGGCGTGGGGGACGGCATCATCCTGGAGATTTGGGGGTGCAGGGGCTAATCCCGGTGCCCTCCCCCAGGCAGAGATTTTGGGGGGTGGGGGGCTTATCCTGGTGCTCCCTTTCTTCCTCCTTCCTGTCAGAGATTTGGGGAGCGAGGGGCTCACCCCACTACCCCCCCGCCTTTCAGACCCATTTTGGGGCATTTCCCTCCTTTTTGGTTTCTTTAACCTCCTTTTTCTACTCCCATCGGGCACTGGGGTGTGGCCCCCCCACATCTCCTTGGGGGGGTCCCCAAAACTACAGCCCCTCCACCACACTACTGATTTGGGGTCCCCTCCGGCCCTCCCCACTCCCTGTTTTTGTTGATTTTGGGGTTTTTTGTTGCTTTTCCTCCCCCATTTTGTTTTTTAACAAAGTGATATTTATATCGTTGGGTTTTGTACCATACGGGACGGGGGGGCCCCGGGGGGGACACGGGGCCCCCCCAAATTACACGTGTCCTTTTGGAGCCCCCGGGTGCCGTGTGGTTCTTCGGGGGGGAACACACACCTGTGGGCACTGCCTGCATCCCCTCTGGGGGAAATGGGGAGTCACAGCCTGTGGGGTGTGGGGACCCCCTTTCTCCCCACTGAAAAACCCTTGGGGGGGCTGGTGACCCCCCCCTATAAAACACCCCCCAGGCAGGAGCTGCTGCTGCCTCAGGGCTTTATTTCCTACAAGAGGGGGGGCAGGGACAGGTCATGGCCATGTTGACACGTGTCGGCCCATGGGACACGCGTGGGCTCACGAGGGGCACGACGCGGCCCACGTTGACTTGTGTTGACTCACGTTGGCTGAGGTTGACTCGTCTTGGCCTGTGTTGTCGTGTGTTGGCCCATGTTGGTGTGACTTGGCCCACGTTGACTCACGTTGACTCGCTGTCCCCCTGGCTCTGGCCCCCTGCCCGCGTGGCCACGCCCTCACTTGCAGGTGCAGTAGTACCCACGGATGGCGTCGTTCCAGTCTCCGAAGAGCCCCCGGCGCACCTCCTGCAGCCGCGGCACCGCGCCGGCGCTGAAGCGCCGCGTGCTGCCCTCCTTGCCACTGCGCGACCACACGTTGAGCTCGCAGCGGGTGCCCACCACGAGCGAGGAGGTGCGGCCAGACCACTTGAAGGGCATGTAGGGCACATCGCTGTCCGGCTCCACCTCCAGCACGTCGCCGGCGCAGCACTGGTCGTAGTAGGGGCTGTTGTCGGTGTAGAGCAGGGCGCACAGGCGGGTGCCGTTGGCGGTGCGCACCTCGGAGGCGCTGGGGCACTGGGCCTCCACCCCCCCACCCAGCACGGCCACCAAGGCCACCAGTGTCACCAGCAGTGCCGACGCCATCGCCAAGGCCTCCCGAGCCCCAAGGGCCCCCTGGATATACCTGAGCCCCCAAGGCCAGGGGGGTGGGCAGGGACACAGGTGTGCCAGGGGCTGTTCCCCGGCCCTGGGAGGGCACACAGGTGTGCGGGTTCCCGGGAAGGGACACAGGTGTGTGCGTGTCCCCAAGGCCATGGCACACCCACCGTGTCCTGTGCCCTCCCTCCACCCCCTGCGACCCCCCAAAGTTTTCAGCCCCCCCCCACCCCAGGATGGGACCAGGACCTCCCAAAGTGTGCAGCTCCTCCCCCTGAGAAGGGACCCAAGTGACTGGGACGCCCCCCCTGACCCCGGAGAGGGCCTCAGGTGTTCTGTCCCCATGGAGACCTCGCCCCACCCCCCGGGAAGAGACCCAGGTGATGCCCGTGTCGTGTCCCCCCCACCCAAGGCCGGGATGGGGCCCCTGTGCCCCGAGTGCGGTGGCCCCGCCTCTTTTTGCATATTCATGAGCCGGTGCCACGCCCCGTCACGGCGCCGCCGATCTCCCCTCGGCGGTCTCCATGGCAACCGCGGGGGGCGGGGGTTGCCCCCTCATTAGCATAGCCCGGCCCCGCCCACATTGCGGGAGGGGCAGACGGGGTGGGGGAGTCTCGAGGAGGGGGCTCGAAACCCCCCTGTGCGGTCAGAGGGGACCCCCCCAGGCAGCGACCCCCAACAACAGATAAGGAACCAGGGGACCCCCGGGCAGAGGGGGACCCCTCCAGACAGAGCTGACCCCCCCCC